CTTAAAAATTATATTATTTGTTTCATTAAGCAAATACATAATCCAACAAATAACAAATGCCATGCCAACAAATAAAAATTAAATCTATTTAAAAACTAACTCATAACAGTATTACACATTATATAGTAATAAATGGTAATAATAATATCTAATCAATAAATATTAAAAAAAAAAACTAAATTCGAAAGCAGTATTAAATAATTTATAAGTATAAATTGTGTGTGTTATGTAGAGCAATGTGGTCTTTATTAACCTTAAAGTTCATACAAGTTTGATTTTTATCCTGGAATGATGAGCGAATTATTGAAATTGAATTTAATGTATCATTTCCAATTCGATTCCTTTTTTTTGTCTTCACATCGTTAATAATAGAAAAATTCGTTCTGCTTCCGCATTGGAATGAGGCAAAGTTAATACTAATCTTGCTAATGTACATATATTTGGGAACTTAGGGGAATCGTTCACAAAATTCTTCAATGCTGAAATTTCTTTCCACATTTGAGCATTGTCAACCACACCAAGGTTTTTTAAATGTATAGTTTGAGAATTATTCAATGAGGAGGGAAGTTGTCTCCATTCATTTATAAGCTCAAATTTGTCAAAAHAATTACCAAATTGCTCGCTAAGTAGAGGCAAATTAGCAAAACCAGCACGGTTGTTTGCATCTAATGCAATTTCAGGATCTAAAAATTTGAATTCTTTAAACAAATTATTACTTATAGGAAGTCGTTTTATAATTTCTTCTGCTACTGTGATATAAAATTTTTGGCACTTTTCTTTGAATACATTAATATTATCAGCTGACTGTAAATCTAATAGTGATTGACATTCTGCACCCACRAATACTTCTTCRACAGGCAATAAATTTGAAATGTCTCCAAAGTTTAAGCAGCTAATATTATCCAATAATGATGGTTTTATAAAGTTTTGACATATAATTTTCATTAAATTTAATGASTGGTCAAAAAGTTTGTGAATCATAATTTCTCTGCTTTGAAAAAGAGCATTGAATGTATTAAGATAGTTTAAAACATATTTTAAAAATAAAAAATAACATTTAGTGTATGGATTTAAAAGCTCATYTAATATTGTTTGCGCAGATTTTAATTTGTCCTCGAACAGAGCAATTCTGAAGTACTCAATGAGACTTGGCCAACACTCTAAAACCCTAACTGCTCATTGGTGAAGTGCTAACCAACAAGTTTCAGCAAGCTTCAAAATTGTTTTACGTTGGTTATCAAAAAATTCTTGAATTTCTACTAATTGCGCACAACGCTTTGCGCTCCCAGATACATATGATGAAATTGAACGAATTAACTGTTCAACCGTTCTGGGAAGWTTTAAACAAGCTTTTGACGCCACTAGTGCWGAAGAATGGCAGATGCATTGCATWTTTATTACATTTGGTGAATCTTCTACCATGCAAGTCATAAACGAATTGTGTATTCCAAYCATTACCGCAGCACCATCACAAGCTACTCCGACAATATTTTTTAAAGGAATATTTTTTTTTTAAAGACACTCTTTGAAATGGCCATATATGCTTTTGGCTTAACAATTTATAGCATTGACTGGTACAAGTTCCAAAAGTTTTGTGTGCACCATACCACTATGAAGATGTACAAATCTAACTAATAAACATAAAAATTTTTGGCATGTCAAGTCTGTACTCTCATCAACCAATACAAAGAATGGATTGTTTTTTATTATCTCAACTGTTTCATTAATTTCAACTGGTGCAATAATATTTTTAATGACATTAGTGACTTTGGTACGATGAAGATTTACACCTTTACAAATTTTTGAATCGTGGAAAATGTCTTTAAGTAAAGGAGTTAAATGGTCAATGGTGTGTAGAGCAACATTGTGTTCTGCTAAAAATGCGGCTAATTTGAYTTCAGAGATTTTAATATTATTTTCTAAAATTTCATTTTCGTTACTTTTAGTAAATGACAATAACAGGGATTTTGATCCTCGTAAACTTTTGACATTTGTTGAATGTTTAATACTTTTTGCATGTTTCTCAATCTCRCTTTTGYCACACATGATTTCAACATTACATGCAATACACTTGCATTTGGTTGGTTCAGATTTTACTTCTCTCAAYCATAGTTTATATTTCTCATCTGATAACCACTGTTGTTGAAATTGTTTTTTTCTGTATTCTCTATGACATTCTTCTTTTGAGAGTTCATTTCTCATTGCTCGTTTTTTTTTGGGGTGTACTACATCCGTCTTTAGGGTCATCTGGATCAGAATAATCCATATTAATGTCTTAAACAAACGATTATGAATAATAACTATAAGCAATAAGCATTACTTAAAACCATTGTGGTGAGTTTATTGAGATTTGAGATACAATTATTTGTGAACTTGATACTGATAAGTGATAAGTGATAACTGATTAGTGATAACCATTTTGTTATGTCTTTTGTGATCTTTTGTGATAACCAATTACTGGTAAATGATAATATTGAGTACCTAAATAATTATTGTATTTAATATATATTATAATTTTTTTTTTAATTTTCACAATTGTTTAAATTCCCACATATGGGTGATTTATTTAAAAATTTCCCTTTGTCCCTTTTACAAAATTTTATGATAGAATTTACCCGCGCCGTGGGAATTTTCCACACACCTGGCAACACTGCTAGTCGAGTGTAGTTAGGTGAAACATAAAAATGTCATCCGGTGCGTACCAGTTTTGCAGGTGGAACATACATGACGTGCACCAGTGCAACCATGGTGCAATAGTGCAGAGCGGTGGAAAACGCTATTACATGTACAATAGACAATTCTAAATTGATCCAGAGCGGCAAATTTTTTGGGGCGGCTTTTAACTTTTTTAATTCTAATATTAAATACTGTGCACTGTTTTTTCAATGTTAAATCGAGTAATATTTTGAAATATAAAATTATAAGCTATGGCACTAAATAGTAAAATAATGTGTCAATAATATTATTATTAGGATGGACTAGCGCATAGTGTAGATAATCATTATTACAGTGGTAATAAATAATAATCACAGTTTACATAGAATTTTGTAAAATTGTGTTAAATAAATGACTTCTGCAGTTTTGTCTGATCGATTTCCTGTGTCGCGTCGTTGACTACGCTTGTTATCGTTTTATCTTTGTTAAAATACGTGCATGCACGCGCCTATTAAATATAGGTATCTGGTATATATAAAGTAATATATATTACCCATATAATGAATAATGATGTCAATAATAAATAATAATATCTGAATATCTGGATAAAATTACAAATAAGTCAGTACTCGGTCATCGATTATCACTACATCAGTGTTGGTGTTGAAAGTTCGCAATTGACGATAATAGTTGTTTAAAGAGTGCTAATGAGTGCTAAAAGAATTAAATTAAGTGGTAGTGAATATCGAAAAAAAAAGAAATAAAGATGTTATTGAACAATGTCAAAAATTGGACGGTTTTTTAAAAAAGATAAGCTATTAGACATCATCTTAATCAAATAAGGATATCATATATTTAATTTTTTTTTAAATTTAAGTTTCATGAAAATAAACTCAAAGAATTTTTTTTTATACACGTTTAAATTCAAAATTACAGCTCAGATAACGATTTTTCATCTTATTTTTTTTTTTCGTAGACTTCTCCACTTAATGTTGAAATTGAAAATGTAAATATTCAAACAATAATAAATGTTGACGAATCGGTAGATAATTGTATCGTACAAAAATTTGTGATAAAATAGATTCTTTACTTGAAAATGTTGTCGAAAATAATTGTTTAAAGGGCAATAGCAATAATTATGAAAAATTATTATTTGAGAGTTCCGTCACTATACCAAGTTCAGATCCAGCTGAATGGAATTACTTCTCCTAAAATAATAAAAAAAAATCCACCATTTGAAAATAAGCAAGTACCATATCGATTTAAAAAATACTAAACGATTGTATGGCAAACAATTAAGAAAACTTCCAAGTAATATATTCGAAAGACGTCTTCTTAATGGTGAATGTAAAAATACTTGGCTTCTTTATTCGAAATCATAAAATTTAAGAATTATCTGTATTCTATCATCTTCAAATGCTAGCGGTGAACGTTTGATTTTAGTTTTGAAAAGAACAAAAAATTATTTAAGATCAGCTTTAGACCAAGAGAAAATGCCAGATTTGTCAATACTGTGCATCAAGTCTGAAATAGTTAAAGAAATTAAGTGGGAGGAACTTGTTAATAAATTTGCAACAGTCAAATTGAGGAAAAAACATATTTGTTAAACATAAGTATTTGAACATAAGACAAGTATATATWTTTTTTTATTATTATATTATACAGTATTTACTTTAATCATTATAATAAGTGTGTATATTATGTATAAATTAAAGATTTTAATAATTTKGCGTTAAGCTTGTAGTAGTTATTTACGTAATAATATAAGGTACTAGTTGTATTTTTATTAAATTGTTTAACAGATTCATATAAATATACAAAATATATAAATATGTATTACATGAAATACATATATTATTYTAAGGACTTTTTGATAAGAAATACCTATTAAATATATATTGCTCCAGGGCGGATCTGTTAATCGGATAGTAGTCCTTATTGAATTCAGATTTGTACTTATAATCAATAATGCGGTACAGTCCAAAATAAAGTCATGATTTTTTTTTACTCTTTGTGATGGACCTAACACATCTAGATATCGTGTGTTGAAAATGTGAACCACACAGCAGTAGGTATAACAATAAATTGTTGATTTAGTTCGTCAGATTTCCAGCATTTATAACAATTATTAATATAATCAATTACCTACACTCAATTTGTTCCAGGATTCACGAACTGAATTTAACAACGCAGTGGCGCCGAGTCCTATGATCGGTGCAGACCACGGCCTGACCACTTTTTATAGTGTGTGGCCGTTGACACCATTGTGTTAGGCCAGACACTCACACATGCTACTGCTACATACAAAATCTGTAGGTACACCGTAAAATTGTCACATAGCCACATAGGTATAAATGTGCTCCTCCTCTTGATTTAGCTTGGCCATTTATGGATATATAAATATATAATTTAAAATTACTATTGGATTATTTAAATTTAGTATCTTAATTTATCCATGGTTATTACTAATTGTAACAATTAACAAAGATGAAAACAGCGACGCGATGACTATATTTGGTGTATTAAATATGTTTTAAAAAAWTACTAATAAAATATAATATTGCATTTACTTATTAGTTATTAGTTGTTACACAATAGTTAGGCCAGTAAACCAGTTAAGGACAAAGGTTTCCTATAATGTAGAAATGTGAGAATATTTATAGATAAATCATAAATGACTTCCATATTATTTATAATTTTAGATGCTCAGTTATTTTCCCATGTTTATAGTTTCTATAGAGGAATAGATAATAGATTACGAAGAATAGTGTACAATTTATTATCTTCTATAAATTCTATTAATATATTATAAAATAAAATGCTGATAACAGAAAATACACGGCTGAATAGTTCTCATTTAATTTGCATTCATCAATACTGTACGTATTTCCCCGTCCTAACGTCTTGAATTTGATATTTGTGTGTGTCACGTACTCGTGTGAAGTCGTTGCTCACAACTATCGGGTTATCGTTGATTTTCATTATTCTTTTAATAAAAATGAACAAAAAAAGGAAGCATAGAGGAGGGGCTGACAAAAACCGAGAAAAACAAAAAAAATGCTATTGATTGAAGCTGGGAAATGCCAAAAAATTACCAGCATGTTCAAATTTACAGTAAGTTACTAACTATTTTAATTCTTAGTAAATAAGTAGTACTTAATAATTTAACTAGATTATCAAATAAATATAATATCAAATATCAAATAATTGACTCAATATATCAAACTACAACTTATGGTAAATACTAAAATAATTGCTATTTAATTTATAATTTATTAAAATACAGAATAAAGCAAATTAAAATTTAAATAATGCATAATATTTGTAGATATCCCATAATAAGTRTTTATATTTTTAACTAGTTAATTAATTTTCTAATTAGCCTAATAACTTAGAATTCATGATAAGTATCAACTTGTATCAGTTGTATCTAAAAACCTTTACTCAATAGTTAATACAAAACTAGTTGAATCACTACAGCTAGTGAGTAATGTGAGGAAATAAGATGCAAGATAAATAATATATTATTATTGTATTAAAAATATTGAAAGTTGTGCTAGGTATCACTTATGTGTAACCTAGGCGGTATACTGGTATCTAAAAATGTATTAAATAAATTATTATTAATTGAGTTAAGTTTATACTTTTTTTTCCATATTAACTAAACTTTTAGATTTATTTAAGGTGCTTATTAGAATTAGAGTACTGTTTAATTATTACTATTAAATTATATCTAGCTTAACATTTTTAATGTCTCCTAACATATTTTTACWATAGAAGTTGAAAAATAAAAGAAATACATTGTCACAATTTTTTTTTATAAGCATTCAAAGTTTGAATTTTTACAACATATTACGTAAAAATCACGAAAATTCGTAAATTATTTTATGCTAGAAATTCATAAAAAATTTTCCTTTTATA